TTTGCGAGTGGACATCACTTGAATGCGAATGCACACACACCGGGTACTCACATGTATTCATTGTTATCAAGTCAATTAAATCAAGGTATTGTCAGCAGCTCATGAGAAACTAGGCAAGCCACAACTCTTTGCTTGTTGTTATGTATTAGTAACATTATTTAATATTATTATTATTATAAGATTATTATATAAGATTCGATTATTATCAATAATTATTTTTGTGAGCAGTTGTACTAGCTTTTGAGACCGTCCAAAGCTTTTATGTGCTTTTTTCCTTAAATTTGTACGTTAATTTATTCGATTAGTCCGATGATCTTTCAAACAGCTTAAGTCTATGTAGAAAAGAAAATTGCTAAACGGGCCTTTCAGTTTTCTTTCAAATTAGCTCAGCTTTCCCAAAGCTTTAATTAGCAAGAGCTTTAGTTTTCGACAGCCTTAAAGCTTTTATGTGCTGCCAGTTCAATAAGTGCAATAAAGCCTTTTGTTTGTGAGCAGCTGAATGAGCTTTAAGTTAGATCAAAACTTTCACGGGCTTTAAAATCTCCTGATGTTAAGAGTTTCTAAATTTAGATAAGCTTTCAATCAGAATTAGTGCTTTTAGAAGAAAAGTAGCTCAATGGATCTTTCCACATAGCTTAGCTAGCTTAAAACTATCTGTTAAAGTTTGTCTAGCAAAAACTCATGGCTTAGGTGCCAGAAATTTGGCAAAAGCTCCTTTAATTGACTGCTGCACAGTAAGGATTGTCTGTTTCTACCGCATAGGATTAAGTTTAGTTTCTATTTATTGATTATTTACATTGCTCTAATGCATTTATTTATAGAATGCGTTCAATTTGCAAGAATTTCGATAACATTATGTTTTACTTAAGCTGATTATTTACTTGTCTGTTTGAATCCTAAGAGTGAATAAAATGCCAAGACAGAAACACACACACACACACACACTTGCAAGTTTGACTACTTATGCCACACTCGAACGCACCGCTATAGCCGTGTTCTGTCCGTGTGCTTACTCAAGCTGTTTGCCTGGTGAAATTTGAGGCATCATTAACTAATAACAATCGCCAGCAAGGAGAATAATATAGATTACTGCAACTGAGGGTCATAGTGGCATCAGTTTGCTCTGTGTTGGGGCTGCGGGCAGGCTTATTGAAATGCGCGGCGCGCAACTTGTTCTAATTGATGTTGGATTTCTGTGCTTGTTATTTCGCAGGCCTGTTTCTGGAGTGTCCTGGCACGACGGCGCTGTCGCTGCGCTCGACGCTGGAACGCATCTCGGCGCCAATACACTCGCTGTCCATTTACGATTTTGATCGGTCCGTGACATCACTCTCGCAGGACGTTATACAGCCGGGCGTGCACATACGGCACCTGCAGTTTTCGCACTCGCACCTGGAGGCGCTCAAGGAGAACAGCCTGCGCAATGTGCGCGGCAGTCTCGAGTCTCTGAGCATTGTCAATGGCAAATTAACGCAGGTAAGCGGCTAACGAATTACATTGCGTATACGCCATGTGCAACACTTTGCATTTGCCAACGCACACACAAAACAAATACTGACATGGCTGAGCTGGCAGGTTACCTCAAAGTGGCACTATTGTCACTGGCACCTGTTTTCGGGGGCGTTGCTTGCAGCAAAATAAGTGAAAACTAAGCAAAAGTGGGGCAAACGCAAACGTAGGCGACAGACACCAAAAATAATTGCATGCAAATTTATTGCACTTTACATTTTGCTGCTGTTGCTGCTGCTGCTGCCGCCCGTCACTGCAACCGTGTGCCTGTGGCATGCCAGCGCCAGCCACGCCCCACAGTCAACGCCCTAACTAACGGTGTGACAATCATCTGTTGGCTGTCAGCTAACAACACAACACACAAAAGGCAGCAGCAACAGCAACGGCGATTAATGTGCGCCAGCCACATGGCCCACTTGACTGAAGTGTGAAAAAAAGGTGTATAAATTAGCATGAGCTTAAAAATTAAGCAAACTTCACTAAGAAGCCTAGCACAACGCCTTAGTGATTAGTAATAACTTCAGCGTTTTTAAGATATTCCACTCACAAGATAAATTTATAGCAACCGAATAAAAATATCACAGCTTGAGCCAATTGCCCAGTTACCTGGCACCTGGTTTTACATATCCATGATGATAAATAGTTTAGGATTTGCAGCCGAGTCACTCTTAAAAGTCTTTTTTATTTTGAGCCAAAACATTTCAATCAAAATATTCAAATATTTTGGTTCTAGGTCCAGTTCTTGGTAAACAAACAGCTCTGATTAACTTGATAATTTTATGCATTTATTCAAAATCCTTTCCTATTGGTTTATTGATTTTCAAGACCGCGCAAAAGTATGCTATGGAGGCTTACCTGCTTCTAATATGGCGGCCGTGGGCGGCTGTCTCCCATTTCCGGTTGTCAAAAATTCATTGCCTACTTACGGGCTGCTTTAATAAAATGTCGAGGGCAAAACTTGACTCTGGCGTGGAGATAATCAGTTGCCTATCAAACAAATGTATAAATTACTCTTGTTAATTAAACAAATATATAACTTACCTTTGATAATTGTGTCAACTAAGACTGAACGTGTGTTTATTTAAATTTTGCAAAATTTAATCAAGTCACGAGCGCTCAAAACTGATTGTTAGCTGCATAATAAAATACATAACTGGTAAAGTATTTGTTTGCTGCTGCTGGTAATGCTGCTGTCGGTTTTGGCGGTGAGATTGGGGCTGATGTTGGTGATGCAGCCAAAGCTAATTAGCGGCGCCAACATACGGCGTCAATAATGTTGAACAAAGTTGGGCAACCGAAAAAATGCAAATGGCTTTCTAAGCCATTAAATTTGGAAAAACAGCCGCCACAGCAGCAGCAGCAGCAACAGCAGCAACAGCGGCAGTGGCAACAGTGGCTACAGTGGCAACGGCAATGGCAACGGCATCCACCGTTAACGTAAACCCGACAAGCGGCACTTGGGCAGCCATAAAAAGTAATTTGCCGCCGCGAAATAACAAACGATCCAAAGCTAAAAACAATTGCGTTCAATATAATAATTTTCGCCGAACGCGGTGGCCGCTGCGGCTGGCTGGCAAAAGGCATCCAGCTGGAAATATGTATACAGAGGCGATGGGCGTGACAGCATTGGTTCCTGCTCTCCATGGCATTGCTTGCAATTAAATGGTTAATACTGCAGCAAATATTCTGCAGAATGTTCACTTTGTTGGTTTTATTTATACCAAAAAGAGAAAAGCAAAGTGCAACTGTAGAAGAATAAAACGCTTGCAGCAATCTTCTTAGCCAGCTGTTAGTGTGACATTTACAGGCCCAGGTCTACGGGTGGTCGTGATCCGAGGTGGTGGCGGGGGCAGCACTGGCCTAATGGTCACATCGGGCTTCCTGGTGAGCGGCAGCGTTGCGCAGGCACGTGGCTTATCACCCAGCTGCATCGGGCCGCAGAGACGCTTGTCTGCCGGCAGCCAATCTGCGAAGGAATGAGCGAGAAGACGAGTGAGCTGTGAAGTAGGACACCTGGGGATTGCCAGCACTTACTGTTGCGTGGACGCGAGTGGCAGTTGTTGTTTAGTAGCTGGCAGCGGTTGGCCACCACCTTGCACTGCCGATGGTTGCGTGAACGCACGCATATCTCCTGGGAGCGGGGCGTGCGTCGACAGGCCACCGGTCGCCTGGGACAGTCCTGATGGCACCAGGTCGCGTATGCTGCGCCCACGCCGCGCACCGTGCGGCAGTCACGCTCCTGCGTGTGTGTCCAAGTCAGCTGGTTGCTGCTGCTCAAATCCGGGCGATTCAGCTCCAACAGCTCGCAAATATTCCTGAAGCGACGGCACATACCATCCTCAGCGCGGCCGCAGACACGCGGACTACGCGCAGCACAAACAGCGGGCAGCCGACACAGCGGCCAACGCGTGGGCAGAATGGTGACCGGTCCCGACGTGGGTATCAATGTGGGCGTCCAGGCGTCGATCGGCGATGACAGCAGCAACAAAAGCGCCGCGCTGAGCACAATTACTGCAAAAAGCAAGTGGACAATTGGCAACTTAGCCAGTCCCCAGGGCTACAATACTAGCGAGAGCACCTACCAATTAACCTGGTCAACTGCATGTTGTTATGTGAGCCGTGTCTGGTGTACAAGTTGTTGGCTTGGACCTTTCGCACAACGTTTTTATAGCTCCTGCATCTAGGCAAAACAAAGGACCGGCTGCCGTATGATAGAAACAACAGTCGGCACATTCTTTGTTTGCCATGCGTCGTCTTTTGTCTGACTACTCTGTAAATGCCATTGACCTTAACAACAGAAGCACTTGAATGGCCGCTTATGCGACTTTTGGGGAGTAGGACTTAAGAAAACACTTAGTTATATATAGTATATCTAGCTTTTATTTAAACTTATTTGGAGGCAATATTTAATGAAGAAATCTGCGGCTGTTTTCAGCTTTAAAACGAGTTAAAATATACTGAATAATTAGGAGTAAAAATAAATTAAATTAAATAAAAGCCATGCTTTCCGTATCAAATTGCCTCCACTCTATATAGAGGCCACTTCAAAAATTTAATTGATTATAAATTTGTAAATATTTATGTAGCAAAATAATTAATTTAATACATAATTTTCCTTAATTAGCTTGTGGGCTATGTGGCCAAGGCTTAAAGCTTATTTCAATTTTTAATATTTTTAAATATTAATTAAATAAACATTTAATTAAATTTTAATTATTTTTGCTCATATTAAAAATGTTTAAAGAAGAGTTTTGCATTGCTAAAAAGCACAGTTAACAACAAATTAGAAGCAAAAAAAAGACTAAATATATTGCATAGTGTTATAGATAATAATAAGAACTTATAAACTAGGCTGTCAATCATAATGTGGAAGCATATAAAGGATTTTTATCTTATTTTTGTCTCACATTATTATTACTATTATTATTAGAAAGCCCGCTTTAGTTTCTTCAATAATATAAAATTCAAGTTGTGCATGAATTGATGTTAATAGATATTTTAGAGAATCCAAGCTATATATGTGTATCCCCTTAGCAATTCCGCGCCTTGTTTTACAGCATGATTTATCGGTCAAAACAGTCGATTGTCTGCCGTTCTCTTAAAATGAAAGAAACACGTGTCGCGTGGCATACAAATAAATGTAAATTGGAGCACAATTTAGTAGCTTCTGTAAGACAATAAGACAGTTAACGTGCCCGCTTGACTGGGGCTGGCCACATATAAATAGCCAGCCCGATCCGTTGACAATCATCAACAACATAAGCTAGCTCCCGATAACAGCTGCAGTTCAAACCAAGTAGAATGATGTTGAAGCTTACAACTTGCTGGCTGCTGCTGGTCGTGCTGCTGGCTTCCGCCGAGGCAAACACGGGCGCCTCGACAGTGTGCGTGGGTCGCTGCCACATCCTGGATCTACATGACAAGCGAAGGGTGTGCACTCGGGATGCCAAAACGAATATGTGCACCAAGATGCTGCCCTGCCGGCTGCGCGAACGCAACTGCGCCCTCAGAAGTCTGGGCCTGCCGCCGCTCAGGGAGACCAGCCTCGGGCAGTGCGCCAATGTTGTTAGCAGCACCGGCACCGCTCGATGTGTGCTCATACCACGCCCCACCAAGCCCAGGCCCAACGTCAACATCAAGGTGCATGTGAGCTGCATTGACAAGGCCTGCAACAGGCAGACGCCCAACAGTTGCTGGCGCACCAGAGACGGGCGTAACCTTTGGCTGAGCCTCTGCGATGCCCGGGAGAGGAACTGCATCAACTGGAACAACCCACAATTGCAGCTGGTGCGCATCCACGATGTGCAGTGCCGCTCAAAGGCGCCCGTTATCAAGGGCTAGGCACGCTGACAACAACGATATCCGCACATGCATATATATTTTATATTTTATTATATACCAACTTGTCCCTTCTTTTTATTTCTTGGTTGCTTCGCATCAAATTCAAAGCGCTCGTAAATATTTCATAATGTTGCGACAATAAAAATAAATATCATTTTATGGCAGGCTCTTCTTTGTTCTGTTTTTATTCCTGTCTCTGCTGCTCCTATACCATGTTACCTCACCCCTCCCCAGCACTTGCCACAGCCGCTGGCCAGGCGCTGGCTCCTCGCATGACTTGGCCATAAATTTGCTGAGGCGCGTTTCAAGGCGCCAAGCCAAAAGCGGCAACTGAGCGGCCGGAGCGGACCAAGCGGCGTCGCAAATGTTCAATAAATTAAAATCGACTGCCATAAATTTCCATGTCAGTACATTAATTAAAAGCCCGTAATTCGCTTGGCCATGTCACAGGGCCCAGACTCCGCCCTGTCCAGTCCGTGTGCAGTCACCTGCTCAACCCCCCCGCCCACATGCCGGCTCAGTTGTAGCGGAAGTTTTGTAATTTAATGCAATTAAAAAGCCAAACAGTCCAAAAAGGAAAATGTGTTCATTTCATTTGAGGATAGAGGATCGCATAGCCACATCGCATACAAATCCTTAGACTTTTTTGACTGTCTATAGCTCAGATTTGGAACTATGCTAAGGCCGGGGCTGCAAAACTCAAACAAATTCTAATTGGTTCGAACCGACTGTTCAATAAAGCCTTCTAGATCAAGTCTGCTTAACCAAACCAGCTTAACTTAATTTATAACAAGAGATTCTAGTCGGGAACTCCCGACTGGGGGATACCCTGAACCCTCTTCTTCCAACATCAAATGCATATATATATATATTTTATTTTAGAAGCTATGTGTCAAGTTTTATCGATTGTTTGGAAACGTTGTAAGTTATCGATTATCGGAAACAAACTCGATCTGCGCGGGAACTCTTAGCATATACATCTTAAGTCAAGTTTCAAGTCTCTGGCTCTTATAGGTTCTAAGATCCTTGCGTTCATACATACGGACGGACAGACGGACGGACGGACAGACAGACGGACATGGCTAGATCGACTCGGCTATTGATGCTGATCAAGAATATATATACTTTGTGGGGTCGGAGATGTTTCCTTCTGCCTGTTACATACTGTTGGATTTTGCACAAATACAACATACCCTTATACCCTTTTTTAATGGGTTTAGGGTATAAAAAGCGAGTTTATCTAAGCTTGCTCTAACTTGTTTAGCACTATAATAAATATATGTACAGCTGCAGCATAAATTGAAAGTAAAATCACATGTGAGCCATTTTGTCATCTGCTTCAAACTTATCAATCACTTATTGAACATATCGCACTATTTATCGAACTGGTGTAGCTTGATTTTAAACTTTTAAAATGAGTCGCAGTTCGTGCAGCTGATTTTAGCTGGCTCTAGATCTTGATTTTTTTCGCTTTTTTTTTGCATTCGGAAATATATTCAGAGTCTCTTCGAGATAAATCATTTACGCTACGATGACCAACATTTCGTTCTCTGTCTGTTCTATTGTCTATTTGTAATTTAAATTGATTTAATATTTAATATTAATGTTAAATAAAAATCAAAATACGTATAATCAATAATAAAATAGCACTGGCAACTACGATCTGTGCTTTGAGCCCGCAACCTCGTAGCTTATCAAATGAATGAAATTTAGCTTCAGGTGCAGAGCCTTTAACTATTTCAGAGGAACATGGGAACGAAACGAACATTGGAGCCAGCGGCAAGCTTTATTTGGGGAAAGCTGTTGGCAACTCTGTGTGCCTCAAAATGGCTGTGCGTGTCGCCTTTTAAAATAGATTTTGTTGCTATCAAAGTGTGCATTGCACTTTGCGTTTCAGGATCGGCATACGTCTAGGCTGGTTATATTCATTTCAGAGCAAATCTCGTCGAGTTACAAGCTTAAATAACAGCGCTCCAATAAAATAAAAATTTATAAAAGGAAAACTTAAATTTGTTCATTTGTTTGGTTCAGAAGAGTTAAAGCAGCGTTACGTGAAGATGCGTCGGGCAGCTCAAAGCAAAGGCAACAATAGCGGAGAACCGTCATCCAAGAAGGAGAAGATGGACAAGAAGAGTGATAAGAAGGCCGGATCCAAGGCACCGCTGGCGCCGAACATTGCGAAGAAGAAGATAAAGACGCCCTCGCCGGCATCATCGGCCAGCAGCGATACCGACAGCGATTCCACCAGCTGCTCCAGTGGCTCATCGAGCAGCTCCTCCTCTTCATCGTCGAGCGAGTCCGAGAGCGACTCGGAAAGAAAGAAGCGCCGCCATCGCCGTTCACGAAAAACCAAATCTTCAAAAAACTCCAAGTACAAATCGAAGCGCAGCCGTTCGCGCAAGAGGGCTCCTGTGGTGGCGGCTGTGCCGACTCCTGTACCGCCGCCCCTGCCAGCTATTGTTCCTGCGCCAGTTCCACCGCCAAGCTCAACTCCAATGCCATTGCCAATACCATTACCCATACCAATACCAATACCAGTAACACCAACACCGAAGGCAGCTCCGCCAGCAATAGAGATTTGGTCACCGGTTCCCTGCTCCAAGCAGCGCGGCCGCACTCTCCATCGTAGCCGCTCTGGGCTGCCAGGCATTGAATCCAAGAGCGGGTGCAAGCACTCGACAAAGTCGCCAACTCCAAAATCCAAGAATAAATCGCCGCCAAAATCAAAATCAAAAGACAAGGACAAGAGCACAACTGCTGCCACAAAATCAAACAGAGAGCGCCAGCCGGCTGCACCCACAAAGTCCAAGGAGAAAGAGAAGGAAAGGGAGAGGCGCTCAGCGCAGCGGCCATCGTCGCGGGGAAAAGAAAGAGACAAGAACAGAGACAAGAGCTCAACAACCAAGGGCAAGGGTGTGGATAAGGCTTTGACTTTGGTTTCAGCCTCGACTTTAGCTTCGGCTTCAGTTGCCAGATCCGGATCTAAGGATAAGGAACATCGCCCATCGGCTTCAAGCAAGGACAAGGGGAAGCCAGACACTAAATCGCAGAAGAAAAAGGAAGAGACTTCATCATCCAAATCAGCCGCAGCAAAAGCAAAAGACAAAGACAAATACAAAGACAAAGATAAAGATAAGGACAAAGATAAAGATAAAGACAGAAAGTCTTCGTCGCGTTCAACCTCAAGAGACAGGCAGCGGCGCATGCTGTCCCGCGCAACCACAGTTCCAAGGGAGAAGCGCCACTATACCCCATTTCGTTCAGCTGAAAAACGCGTCTCGAGTCGCTCGACGTCGCGCTCCAGGAACTGGCGCTCGTTGTCACGCCCAACTCCCCGTTCCCGGGAAAGGCGCTCGATGTCGGACATAAGCGCTCGGATCCGCATTCGCCGCTCCCCGTCCTCATCGTCGACGCCATCGATGAGCTACCGTCGGCGTAGCCTGGACGGTACGCCGAGTCCATTGCGTTCTCATGATCACGATCTGAAGACCGTGCGCCTGCATATCAAGGGCCTGACACGGCAGGTGACCAAGTCGCATATCGTGGAGATCTTTGGCAGCTTCGGGCCCCTGACTAACGTTGACTTTCCCATAGATCACTTCTATCGCGGCGGATATTCACGTGCCGGACGTGGATTCGCATTTGTCGAGTACGCCAATCCCGAGGACTGCGAGTGCGCTCTTAAAAACATGGATGGCGGCAAGATCGATGGCCAGCGTATTGTTGTCTCCCCCTTCGAGAAGAGTATGCTCCGTTTTCCTATGCGTCGTCGTTATCCTTCGCCGCTCAACATTCGAAATCGCTTTTGAATTGGAATAGATGGGCGGCGGGCCAGAAAAATATTTATACTTTCCAAGCCCCTGTGTGTAAATCATTTGCATTTTAATTTCAATCCTCCGTCAAACAGAAACAATCCGTGTTGATTTTATATAAGGAATGACTGACAATAAAACAAATATCAAAATCAACTTTGATTCTGAATTATCGATACGGAATATCGACAGCTGAAGCTCTTTTCGAGTCAAAGTATTGACAGCTCGTATACAAAAGATAATTCTTCCACATGCCTATGCTCGCATTATTAACATGTATTTAGTATTAGATTTTGTAAGGACTAACCTATAAATACATTTTCCAAAGCAGATGTACAGTGAAAACTCTTCTGGGCGGACAGCTTTCGTCAAGATATTTTGTCTGATCAACCGGAGTCCTGATCCAAAATTATTTGAAAGAAAATATCCGCACAAGAACGGTGTTCGCCCAAAAAGAGTTTCCGTTAGAAGAGTTTTCACTGTATTCGTTTTAGACGTATATAAAAAAAGAAAATTATATTTAAGTAGGGATTGTATAATTAAAAGATATGACAGTTGCGTTTGCTAATCATTTTACTAACTAAATGCCTAATTTAAATTGATTATTTGTATGAGAATAATGTGAATCGGCAAAAGGTTATTATAGATTCCTTGCTATTCTAGGTTTTTTTTTTTTTTTTTTGTATATATATTCAATGGCGACTTTTATGGAACAACATATAAGATACTCACCTTAACCTATCTGTATCAGCTTTTATTTTGGAGCTGTCAGATAATTTAATGACAGTTGAAATTTTGTTTTTGAATTCTTGTAAACTTCGTCAATACACAAACGTAAACAATTTATAAATACTCGCGCGTGTAATAGGCTAGACTATGCCAAAAAGCTCGTGGGGCATTATTTCCATAGTCCATTGTTCGCACTCCAGAACCAAGCTTTCGTTTCTTCAGAGCTCCGTGGCACTGGTTTTCTGGTTTGTTGTTGTTGGCGTACTTTAACGCAATTATAGACACATATGTATGTATGTGCATAAGAAGTGCGCGAACTTTTCAATTAATTGCTATTAAAAACAATTTAAATATTTTATGGGGCCCCGTATTAACAGGTGATTCGAGCGAAGCCAGCTGTGCAAATATATAAATAAAAAAAAGTAACTACATGAATAAAGGAGCGAATAAAACTGTTTTAAAATCCAATATTGCATAATAGCCCGACCGCAAAATTACGCATTTTGTTAACGTTAATTTGTTATCGCGTATTTACTTTTATTTATTAAACAAACTTGATTGCGACTCGAGCATTGCACAATTGTTGCCATTAATTACAGCGCA